TAATTTTTTTTTTAAATAAAAAAATAATTATAAATAAAGTGAAAAAAAAGAAACCTTTTTTTTAAATGGATGTTCATTTTTAATTACGTGCTTAAATATATTTATTAAAAAAGAAAAAACATTATTTTTGTTTTAAATATTTCGGTTAATAAATAAATTATATTAAAGTGTTACATTTTTTTTTTTTTTTTTTTTCTCTATAATAAAAACGGTGGTCATATATAATCAAACGATTTTGTATTTCAATTGTGTTTAAAAAAAGAAGTACAAGTATATAGTGAAATCTTCCAAAATCGTTACTTTAGTGTTTTTGTTTACTGATTAAAATAAATAATACAATCCGATTGGTTCATATCGTTGTTGCCTATATTGTTCAGTGGTGTGACAGATATAACAACGCTGATTCAGGTGTCAATTCGATAATAGAAAATATGATTTATAAAAAATTTTTAGTTTTTTTTCCTTTTGGGTAAGTTTAAATTAATTTTATATTTATTAATTATTTATTTATTTTTAACCTTAAGTTAATTCGAACCAGCATTTAAACAATAATAATAATAATAATGGACTCGTGACAAATATTAGTACAATTTTATATACATATTTTCTTTTATATGTATTTTAGTAATTTAAAAAAAAAAAAAAAATGAGGGGAGCACAAACTCGATGTTAAATCTAAATAATTATTATCAAACTTAATTATCATTTCTCGGTTTTGGCAAATTGTGAAGGAAGAGTGCTTGAAAAATTATTGAGATGTGATATCGATTATTTTATATTTTTTAACTGTAATTTTTGCAAAATTTTAATATTTCAACCTCATTGTAAGAATTCATTCGAGGAATGTCATGATAATGACTGCTGGTTAATCCCCAAAACATCCCTTAAATTATCAAAATCTTTGAAAAGTTTGATTTCATGAATTTGCAATTTCGATTTAGAAAGCTTATGAGGTGATTAAACGAAAAGAAACACACTCTATTATGTGAAAAATTTCAATCGAATTAACTAGTCACATAAAACATCATTTATTGTCGACAAATATTATTATTTTGGTAGAAATTTTAATAATTATTTATTGTTTTAAATTGAAATTTAAATTGTTTGAGAAAAAGGAAGATTAATGATAGGTAGTTGGTGAACCTTTAACATGTCGAGTCTCTCTCTCTCTTATCTATTTTTAAATGGAGAAAATTTTGTATGATGTATCAAAAATAAATTTTGTGTTTTGTAACAACATTCGATACTAAATAAATTATTATTATGTCATTAGTCAAATGCATCAGAATTGAATGTTGTCGAAAAACTAAAACTAAAACTAAACTCTTTATGTTTAAAATGACAAAATTGCAACGAGGATGTTATGTCACATCATTGTCGCAATGTACACTTCAAATTATTTAGGTTCCTTCGATTAACTGTTTAAATCATTTATTTATTTATTTATCCCCCTGCCCCCACCCTCCCATGAATGTTTAACTTTTGACTGTAAATAATTATCAGGTTGCTTCTGCTGTTTATTTATTTATTTAAGGAAAAAGAAAAGGATTTTTTTTCCACAAAGAGAGAATTTATTTATTTATTTCTGCAATAGTTTTTTGTGTCGTCATTGCGAGTTATTTACATAAACATAAGAAACTTGTAGGGACTTAAAAAACTTGTTTATTATTATTATTATTATTATTATTAAAGCTCGATTATTGTTATTAGAGAGAGAGAGAGAGAGAGAGAGAGAGAAATGCGTCAGTGCGTAATACTTGTTACCAGTTATTTCTTGGAACGGATCATGATGATGACGATTTATATGATCTTGAAAAAGTTCAGTGAATGTTTTTTTTTTTTTTTTTTTTTATTTGTTTCTCGTTTCGCAATTTATTAATATTATCATCATTATCATTCATTTCATTGCGTTTTTGTTGGTTTTCTCTGTTTGGAAAAAAAAAAAAAAAAAAAAAAATCACTTAGGAAATGAATGAATGAATGAAAAACGAAATGGAACGAAAAAAAAAAATTTTTTTTTTTTCATTTTTCGTCGGGACAATAAACCAAAAAGAAAAATAATAATAATAATAATTATTACCCATTGTTTGCCGAGAATAATTTATATTATTATTATTATTATTATTATTTATTTACTTATTTTTTATGAGCCAAAAAAAAAAAAAAATGATCCTGGCAAAAATTGTATTAAAAAAAAAATTTAATTAAATTATTTTGCAGGAAGCATTAAAGAATTAATTAGGGACAAAAAGTCTGGGGATTTTAATTATTATTATTATCATCATTATTATTATTTAAATTGACCGTGTAAATAAATTAAAATATTTTATAACCGGAAAGTTAGTTTTAATAAATAAATAAATAAATAATAAAGAACAATGCGGAATAATAAAAAAAAATGGCGGCGAAAGAGCTTTGAAAAACCGTGAGAGAATAGCACGATGATGATGATGATGATGATGATGATGAAGTTAACAGGGTTAAAAGGTCAAAGTAATGTTTTGTCTAATTTTCGTTTGAACTTTTATCACGAACTTGATGATAAAAAAAAAAAAAAAAAAATTCACAAGGAGGCCATAAAAAATTTTTGGCGAAGAAATGAATCAGTCAGTTCCGCCACATGTCCTTCTCTATTTTGTTTTGCCAAAAAGATTTTCCATCTTTTCGTTTTTTTTTTTTTTTTGGTCGGGGGAGGGGGAGGGTGGGGGGTTAGGGACAGGTAAACGACGTGTAAAGCCAACTGCGCGTTTTTTGGCATATTTTATTATTATTATTATCATTATTGTTTTTTTTTTCACGCTGTGAAAGTCTGCAGGGAAAAAAAACACAAAAACTTTTTTTTTTTGCGTTTTCCTTATTTTATTTTATTTTGGCACACGTTAAATTTTGTTGTTGTTGTTATTATTATTATTATTATTTATAAATTCAAGGCAGTTCTTGTTTGTTTGTTTGTTTGTGTTCTATGCAAACTATAAAAAAAAAAAAAAAAAAAAAAAAAAAACAAATCGATTTAAGTGCGAATATACTGACGATATGTACTCGTCGTCGTCGTTGTTGTTTTTGTTGTTCTTGCTAAAAAAAAAAAAAAAATTATCAATCGTATAAAAAAAAAAAATGGCAGTTATTATCGAGTCGTTGACCCTGAAATATTTATTTACATCATATATATGTATACGCGCATTTAAATTAATTTAGGAAAAAGGAACACTTAATAAATTTTATTATTATTATTATTTATTTATTTGTTTGTTTGTCTGTTTGTTTTATGAAATTAACGGACAAAGTCAAATTTAAAAAAAAAATAATAATAATTATCGAAATTCCGTGAATGTGCTCTCCTCTCTCTCTCTGTGTGTGTGTGTGTACGTAAATAATTTTTTGGTTTCCTACTGGAGAAAAAAAAAATTTTCCTGGACTTTGAAATTATTGCATCCGGAATTACTACTTACCGGTACTCGTGACTATGACCTTTGACGCACGCACTTTTTTTTTTTTTTTTTTTTTTTTATTTACGTACTTTTTTTGTTTTCATCGGGGAGATGATGACGAGAGTTATTATCATCATTATTATTATTATTATTATTATTATTATTATTATTATTATTACTTGTCAAATGTGTTTGACGTAATTGCAAAAGTGCATTCTAAGTTCACAAATGAAATAAATGAAACGTCACACGATTTAAAAATTACGTAATCGACGATCAATTTATTATTATTATTATTATTATTATTATTATTGAATAATGTGTCGTCAGTTGGAAATCAACCTTTGTTTAAAAGTAAAAGGAAAAGAAACAAAGGAAAGAAAAAATAATAATAATAATAATAAAAATTTGGTTTTTTAAATTATATTGTCCAGATTCGAAAATGTTTTTGTTTGGAATCTGTTTTGTTTTGGTCTTTCTCTCTCTCTCTCTTTCGAAAATTTTTTCTTCTAGTCCTTGGTGACTATCGATTAAATAATGAAGAAAATGTTTTTTTCTCTCTCTCTCTCTCTCTTTCGTCCTTTTATTTCGATTGAGTAAATATTAAAAAAAAAAAAAAGAAAAAGGAAAATACATTTCGCATAAGAACGAATACTCATTTCCAAACGAACGATTTTCCTAATTTTTTTTTTTTTTTCTTTTCCCGGGACTTGTTGAAAAAAAATTTTCTAGAATTTTCTAGAATTTTTTCTAGAGCGTTGGAAAAAAAAAAAATTGTTTGGCAAAAAAATGATGAAAGTGAAAATTACGTTTTGGTAATAAGTCGATTACTAGTAGGTACAAACGTTTGCATAATAATTTCACTCTCTCTCTCTCTCTCTCTCTCTATCTATCTATCTGTCTCTCTTTGTAAAACGCCTTAAGGAATTATTTAGCAGATTTGAATACTTTTTTTTTTTTCTATCTTATTCGATACCGAAAAGTTTTTGCGTAACGGTCCTGTTTAAAAAAAAAAAAATAATACAAACAAATTTGTTTTAAATCGTTGTGTGGTTGTTGTTTGTTGTTGTTGTTGATACGTCTTTCATTTTTTTTTTTTTTTATCGAAAAACTCGGCCTGAAAATTCGATAGCGAATCGGAAGGGGGGGGGAGGGCATTTACTTTAAAATTGTTTCAAGGCTATTAAATAATATAAATACGCAAACCGAATGGGGCACACATTTCAAAAAAAAAAAAAGCGTGGTCAGGGTCGACCATAAATCCATAAGGAATGGAATACGAAAAGTAGTAGTAGTAGTAGTGGTAGTGGTAGTGGTTGTTGTTGTTGTTGTTGTTGTGGTAAAAAAAACTTAATTCAAAAACTAATTGTTTTTCTTTTTCTCTTTCACTTTAGGTTTAAATGAATTTTTCCATCGATAGATGATTGATTGAAGAACGTTCAATTTGGAAAAAAAGAAAAAATTTTTTTAAACGATAATACTAATAATAATAATAAGAAGAAGAAAAAAGGAAGAAAGACGAAAAAAGAAAGAAAAAAAAAAAAAAAACCTTTTTTTTATTAGAAAGGAAGGATGAATAGCATGAATTACATTGGAAAATTCATAAGCAATTTTCGTGATTTTTACAATGAGATCAACGCAGCCACATTGACTGGAGCCATTGACGTCGTCGTCGTCGAACAACCAGACGGATCCTTTACTTGTTCTCCATTTCACGTTAGATTTGGAAAACTCGGAGTTCTTCGATCTCGCGAAAAAATTGTAAGTTTGTATTTTTTTTTTTTATATCATTTAAGAAAACGATAGATCGATGGATCGATCCATCGATCGATCGAACGATCTATCGATCTATCCGATAGTCTTTGGAGAAAGTTTTTTTTTTTTTTTTTTGTTAAACTCTTTTTATTTTTAAATTCGGTTAAGGTTATTTCCAGGTCCTTTTGTTTGTTTTGTTATTATTATTATCATCGGCGATTATTTTAACGCGAAATAATAATAATAATAAGTATTGGAATTCTTTTACGGTGAATGAAATAAAATTTATCGTGCGAAGGTTACAAGGGGAGGGGAGAGAAAAAAGTCATCGATGAAAATATTATTATTGAGGGCGACGAGATTTCGAGAAAATAATAAAAAAATTTTTTTTTCTTTATTCTTTCCGGTTAAACGAGATTTTAATGCGATCATTAATTTTTTTGTCGATTTCCTTTTTCGTTTCCGGTCATTCTCACCATCTCTCTCTCTCTCTCTCTCTCTCTCTCTCTCTCTCTCTCTCTCTTTCTGTCTTTTTCTCTTCGAAAACGATGCGTAAGTTATTGAATGACGTCCATCCACGTATTGGATAGAATGGGAAAAATTTTTATCGGGGAAAATAAAAATTTTCCACTTCGTTTCCGTTATTATCATCATCATCATCATTATTATTATTATTATTATTATTATTAATTTTTTTTTCGGTTTCGGTTGTGATCGATTCGTAATTTTTATTTATCTCTCTCTCTCTCTCTCTCTCTCTCTCTCACGCTTATAAGAAAATTTGGTGACTTTTTTATTAAAAAAAAAAAATTTTTCTTTTCTTTTTTCTCTCTGCCCCTCAGCCCGCTGCCCCCTGCCCCCCCACACACTGTAAATTTACACTAATTGTAATTTTGTTTTGTTTATTTTGATGTTTTTTCACGAACGTGATTTCGAGTGACGGAAAATATCATCACGACATGTTTTTTTTTTGTGAAAGCATTAATGTCCCCTTAAAAAGTTTTTAATTACGACCGACCGAAAAACGTATTATTAGGTACCTTAAATAATAATAATAATAATAATGATAATGATAATAATTTTTCGTGACAACTTTTTCGGAGATACGAGCGAGAAATTTTTTTTTGTTGTTTTTTTTTTTTGCATCGTCATTTGTTTTGTTTTTGTTTTTGTTTTTGTTCTCGGGATTTTCCAAAGACGTAGAAATACGATGTGCGTGTGAGTGTGAGTGTGTGCCCCGGGGCGTGAAAGACAAAAAACATTTAAAAAAATAATGATAATAATAAAAATTTGTTGTTGTTGTTGTTTTTTTAAAAAATTTGTTTTAAATGCGATGTTCGAATTGTTGTTTGTTGTTGTTGTTTTTGATCTTTGATACGCAATTAATGGTTTGACGTATATACGAAAAAAAAAAAAAAATTGTTTTGATTAAATTATTCAAATGTTTTTTATGTCGTTTGCGAGTTTTCAAAAGGAAAAGTTGAGGAGGAAAATGAGGAAAAGAAAAAAAACCGAATTCTTGACACGTGCACACACACACACACACACACACACACACACACACACATCCACACGTGAAATAATAAAATGCATTGCATTGGATGGTTGTTGTTGTTATCGGTCAAACTTGTTTTTCTTTGCGGTTTTTGTTTTTCCTTCCTTCCTTTCTCCCCACGTCGCCCTCTATCCCCCCGCGTATGGATCGATGAAATTTTAACGTGATAAAAATAAGTTAAATTAAAAAAGGAGCCACGTATTGATTTTTTCCTTACGACACTTAAAAAAAAAAAAAAAAAAAAAAAGTTTTATTATCGTGAATCACGGACATTTTTACGACTTGGCTGTTGAAAGACAATTTCGAATTTTTTTTTTTGGCCACGATTTTGTTTTTGTTTTTGTTTGTTAGAGTTTTCAGTCATTAGAAGAAGAAAAAATAATGATTATCGATTATTATTATTATTATTTTTAATTTTTTTTTTTTTTTTTTTTTTTCAGGTCGATATAGAAATCAATGGAGAACCTTTGAATATTCACATGAAATTGGGAGATTCCGGTGAAGCTTTTTTCGTCGAAGAAGTTTATCCGAACGAGGAAGGAGATGAAGAAGTGATTCCACCTCATTTGGCTTGCTCTCCCATTCCTTCACACGACCAAATCGAGTCTTGGATGATAGGTAAGAAAGAAAGAAAGGAAGTAAGTGGAGGGAGGCGAGGGGGAAGAAGAAGAACAATATGCGTATATTTTTGGCAGTGGTGCTCGAGAAGAAGAAGAAGCAAGAAGAAGGGAAAAACGTTGGGAAATTTTTTTTTTTCTTTCTTGCTCGGCATTGAAATGTCAAGATCAAGTTTATTTTTTTTTAACATTTTCTTCTTCTTCTTCTTCTTCCCAAATAACGCCTTTGAGTCGTTTTCATAAAAATAATTTCGAATTATTATTATTATTATATTTTAGCGAGAGATGCGGAAAAAGCACAGTACGGGATTCAATGGAAAAACAACGGCGGAAATGACGAAATCATAACGAAAAACGATAAAAATAATAATAACAGTTCGAATAAAATAAGCGTGAATACCGTGACAACGTCGGCGAAAGTTTTCGTGGCGGAAACAATCGCCGATCAAGATAAAGTGAGAAAAATCAGTATTGCGGCCGCGGATTTCATAACGATCGAAAATCAAGAAAATAAAGAGAAAAAAAATAACGTCGCAATTTGCGATTCTCAAACGTCTGCCGGTGAGTTTGTCCCCCTTGCGAAAAACCCCGAAAGTATCCCCCCAAAACCTCTCCCCCCCCAAAAACAAAAAAGGAAAAACTCGTGTTTAAAATTTTGTAAACTCAATTGATTTGGAATTTTTTGGAATGCAGATGAAAAAGATGGCGGCGGAGGGGTTGGCGAAGAGAAAAAATCATCGGAAGAAAACAAAGAAAATACGGAAAACAATTTGAGTTCGAATTCTTCGTCGGCTTCGCTAAATCAATCTCAATTTTCCACCGGGGAAAAACAACAAAATGGAAAACGTAAAAGGCGAAAGAAATCGCATTTTAAAAAGAAGAGCAGCATTTCCGGTAACAATTCGAATATTAGTAGTAATAATAATAATAATAATAACAATAATAGTATTAGTGGCGGGAGTACAAATGGTGGTAACGCGGATAATAAAAAAGTTCAACCGCTCGTCGTCGACGATGACGACGAGGACGACGACGACGACAACAGAGAATATCCGGCCATGTTTTCAATGTGTGACGTCGTATCCAAAGATATGTCGAAGGTATAGGAACACTCGATCGATTTTCTTTTCTCTCTCTCTCTCTCTCTCGCCTTTTTTATTTAATCGATCGATCGTTTCATTTTTTCAGAGATCCAGAGATGCTCAAGTTTGCATTTCAACGGAAACGGTTCAAGATGGAAAGAATTCTTCTTCTAATTTCACCGTTAACATAAAAAGTTGTTCGAACGATTCGTTGAACGACCTCGCCAAGATACCCCTGAACAGCGAACACGATTTTCACTTTTTCAGCGATACCGAATTGACACCGGGTTGCAGGTGAGTTTGCATATCCATATCGGTGGTGGTGGTGCTCAATATGTTTTAGTTAACACACATAAACACAGTCACGTGACTAACATGTCGTGATGACGTAGCGAAAAAATAAATAAATTAAACATGTGTAAATATATGTATATATTAATATAGTGTAAAAGGTAGAAAGAAAGAAAGAAAGAAAGAAAGAAAGAAAACATTGCTTTGATTGCACAAAACATAACGAAAAAAAAAAAAAAAAACTGTATAAAATTATCATTATTATTATTATTATTATTATTATTATTAATATTGTTTTTACACGTTTTCACAACATTTGAAAAAAAAAAAATAAATAAATATTTTATTTACCGTTCCATGCAGCATATTAGAGGAAGGTCTTAGAAGTGCTTTGGTAGTGTCACCCGAGTCGTTACAAGACCCGATACCGTTGCTTGTGTACGATTATGTTTATGTTTATGTTTATGTTTTTTTTTTTTAAAGGCTTAATGGCGTTCGGTGTCTTTGTTTATTTATTTATTTATTTATTTATCATCTTTGCATGCAGAGAAAGAAAGGAAATCACAGAAAACATTATTATTATTATTATTTGTTTATTAGTTTTTTTTTTACAAAAAAAAAAAAAAAAATGTATTGTTGTATGTTTTCATCATCATCATTATTATTTATTTATTAATTAATTTCGCCGGAAATGCACGGAAAATTTTTAATATCGTTGCTAATTATTATTATTATTACACGTAGAGGGAATATGTTATTTATTTATTCGTTGGGAATTGTAAAAAAAAAAAGGTGGATTTGATTTTCAGTCCGGAATCGAGACCGTGTTCGCCCATAGTATCAGACACGGAAATAGAACAGAGAAGACACGAAGAGGAAAGCGTGTCGGATGCGTCGGTCGTGTCGCAATCGTGGAAATGGGGAGAACTTCCGAGTCCTCTGCCAAGATCTCAACAAGTATCGTCGACGAAAATGAAAGCCCCGTTGGAACCGACGGATCAAGAGGCTGTGAAAAAACAACAGCAAGAGGAAGCTCAAAAATCAATGCTCAGCGGAATGTTTTCGTTTATGAAAAAGACGAAACATTTGAGACAGGATCAAACGGAGGGAATATATTTGTCGGAACTTAATTCCGAAGAGTTGGATCCGGAAGTTGCTGCTTTATACTTTCCACATTCTTATAGGGGAGAAACCAAATCTGGTGAGGATGTCTTTGGATTAGGGAGGAAGCATCAAGTGCGCCAGCAGGGAGCCATTCGGTAAAAGTCTAATTAATTTGTTTTTACTTTTCCAAAGGTCACAACGAAGAGGATGCCGAAAGTGGTAACGGACCCTCTATTCCTCATTCCCCCAACAGTCAGTCTCCTCACACGATAGGAAGCGGAAACGATTTGACAAATTTGTCTTTGTGGTAAGTTGAATTGGTTTTTCTTTTTTCAATTTATGGTTTTGCGGTTAGTTTTTAGAAGTAATTTTATGTTTTCTTTTTTTTTCTTGTATAAATTTTAGTAGGGCGGAAGTATCAATATCACTTTGCGGAAATTTAGAAACGGGTTTATCCGACGAATTATTCAATCAATTTATAGTATCATACGATGATTTCGTTAATAATCCGATGGTAATAGAAAATCCGGATTTGGTCGTGCGAATCGATGGAAAATATTACAATTGGAGAACTGCTTGCCCCCTAATAATGTCTTTGGCCCTTTATAAGAAACCGTTACCACAGGTAATGGAAATGAAGATGCGAGAGTAGTAGTAAAAGTTTCCGCCACTTTTTTTTTTTTAACTTTTAATTTTTTTTTTTTTTTTTCAGCCTGTGATAGAATTATTGTCGAATGAATTTATGCCGCCTCAGCAGAATAAAAAAGACAAAGTCGAAGTGGCGGAAAACACGAGGAGTTATTCTTGGTTCAACTGGAGAAGATTCAGCGAATCGAAAAATAAAAAAGTTCAAGATTTAAAGACTGTCGACGAAGTTTTCGCAATGTGAGTGTCGCGTAAAAAAAAAAAAAATTATGCGGAATCGTTTCGACGAAACCCCTCCCCCGCCTCCTCCCCGCTCCCGCCCCCCGAAAAAAAATATTGTATTGTGTGATTTGTGTGTGTTTACAGGAAAGAAGAAAACACTTACGCGGCGGAACCCGAAATGGCCATTCCCGCGATTGATGAAAAAGATGGAAAAGATGACAAGGAGGATGAAAAGGAAGAAGAGAAAGATGAGAAAAACGAAAAGGAAGAAGAGAAAGATGAGAAAAACGAAAAGGAAGAAGAGAAAGATGGAAAATACGAAAAGGAAGAAAAAGAAGAAGGATACGCGGGATCGAATTCGAGCGAAGATTCCGACGGTGGTCAAACGAAAACGGGTACGAAAGTTTCTATGGAAAGGAGGTATTATCAATCTAGGGATAAATGTCGGAAAACTCTCAGACTGTCATCGGAACAAATAGTACGTAAAAAAAAAAAAAAAAAAAGAAAAAGAAACAAAGAAAAAGCGACAAATTGAAATGATTTTCCTTTTCTTCAGGCTAGTCTAAATTTAAAAGATGGAGCCAACGAAGTAGTTTTTAGCGTGACGACTGCATATCAAGGTACGAGCAGGTGCAAGTGTCACATATACAAATGGAAACACGACGATAGGATAGTCATATCCGACATTGACGGAACCATAACAAAGTAATTATTACTCGCTCTTTTCCTTGATTTCGTTAAACGTCCGGAAAATTCGTCTTATGATTTTCTTTTAATAATAATTTTCCAGGTCGGATGTTCTCGGACACATATTGCCCATCGTCGGAAAAGACTGGGCTCAAAGCGGAGTTGCTCAATTGTTTACCAAAATAAAAAACAACGGGTATAAATTGTTATATTTGTCTGCGAGAGCCATTGGGCAAGCGAGAGTCACTAGGGATTACCTCAAATCCATCAAACAGGGGGATTTGTCACTACCGGAAGGACCCTTGCTGTTGAATCCGACTAGTCTAATAAGCGCTTTTCACAGGTGAGTTGAGAGATTTTGTTGGATTCCTCTTCCTGTTCCTGCTACGGCATGAATTCCTAATCCTTTTGTTTTGTTGTTTATCTTAAAGGGAAGTCATCGAGAAAAAACCAGAAGAATTTAAAATATCTTGTTTGAGAGATATCGCCGCATTGTTTCCGCCGGATGTGAAACCGTTTTACGCAGGATACGGAAATAGAGTCAACGTAAGGAAATCAAAAAAAAATTAATTTTTTGCGTGAGAGTTTGTTTGTTGGTGACACGACACGAGACATTTTTTTTTTTTTTGCATTTTCCAGGACGTTTGGGCGTACAGAGCCGTCGGGATTCCAATCGTGAGAATTTTCACAATTAATTACAAGGGAGAATTGAAACACGAACTCACGCAAACGTTTCAATCGTCGTAAGTTTTTATAATTTTTTTTGTTTATTTTAAAAAAAAAAAAAAAGGAAAAAAGGAAAAAAGGAAAGAAAACCGTTACACGTGCATCTCAAAAAATGGATTCGTTTGGATTTTATTTCTCGTTTTTTTTTTTTTTTTTGTTTTTGTTTCAGTTACGTTGATCAAAGTACGGTTATCGATGATTATTTCCCTCGTTTGGTCTCTTATTGAATTTAACGTTTTGTTTATTTTTTTACTCGCGTCCCCCCCTCCCCCACCCCCACACACGCCCCACCTCCTGCCCGCCCACATTTCGGTTGGCAACCCTCGCTTGAGTCGATTGAGTTAGGTTGAACGGAAATGAATTTGATTTTCACGAGAACGATTTTTGCCGCGGGAAAGACTTTTAATTTTCCCTACACTACCACCACCGCCCCCCCGCTCCGCCCCTCCCCCCGACCGTGACGACACACGAACAACAACAACATGTATATACGTTCAGGAGAGGGGTCCCGGAAAAGTTTTACTACAGACGACAAAATGATGACGTGGTAAGAAGATAAGTTCTTATGCCGTTTTTTGTTTTTTTTGATTTTGATTTTGACTTTTCCGAATAATAACTCTCTCTCTCTCTCTCTCTGCCTCTCTCTCTCACTCTCTCGCTCTCTCTCACTCTACTCAAATATATAAAATTTTTACTTACATATGGCTAACCGTTGTTCGTATAACGTTTTGTTTTGTTTTTCTGTTCAATAACCGGCTTTTTTTTTTTTATATATATTTGCCATGATGACGACTACTGAAATTATTATTATTATTATTTTACTTTGATTTTTTGCTTTTTTTGCGTGCGAGAAAGATAATAATAATAATAATAATAATAATAATAAAAGGGTGGAAAAAAATCTCAACGGTTTTGAAAAAATTTCAATTTTAAAAAAATTTTTTTTAATCCTTAAAAGACGTGGGCTTCACTATTGAAAAACACGGGCTTTCCTATGCACCTAACAATAATTATGAATTTTTAAAAAAAAAAATACGTGCGCGTTCATTCATTCACCTTCTTCGTCGTCGTCGCCGCAGATTAAAAAGCGCGGGAAATTTTTCGCAAATGGCGGAAACCGTTTGGATATTTTTTTTGTTTCTCGTCGTTTCGAAAATTTAAAAATAATAATAATGATAATGATAATATTAACAACGGATGATTATTAAAATAAAAAGATGGCCGTCGGTGATTTAATTTAATTAATTTTTCTTCAAGGTACATGAACATGTGTCATTTGGTTGACGAAATGTTTCCGCCCCCACCGGAAGAACTCCCGGAAGATTTCAGTAATTTTATATTTTGGCGGGATCCTATACCGGAATTGGACGTGACGTCATTTTCGATACCCAGCGAAAATAAAAACAATGGAAAATCGAAAAAATTTTAACCGGGTGATGATTGGGAAGAAAGAAGGAGGAAAAGAGGAAAAAGGAAACGAATAGGAAGAAGAGAAAGAGGGAAAGGAAGAGGAAAAGGAAAATAAGGACGAAGCAGACGACAAAATCGATGAATTGAAATCGTAACTTGCTTTTTTTGTTTGTTTTTTTTTTTTTTTTTTTTTTTTTTTACCGTTCGAACATGAGAAAATTTCGTGTTTAAGGACAACCGGATGTGGTAAAATACAAAAACCGGAAATGAATTTAAAAAAAAAAAAATTTTAATTAATTTTCCCGCGCAAAAAATGAAAAATTAAAATGGACGACAGAGAGAGAGAGAGATGAAAAGATTCATTTCAAATAGCGTTACAATTTTATTATTATTATTATTATTTTATTTATTTATAAAATCTTAAAAAAGGAGGAGAAGAGGAGGAGAAGAAGAAGAAGAAGAAGAAGAAGAAAAATAGAAAAATTTTTTTTTTTTATAATAAACGAATTCGTACTTTAGTTATGTAGATGATTATTAGTTTGTTTGTTTGTTTGTTAGTTATTATTATTATTAAGTTAGAAAATGTTTTTTTTATTTTTGTTACCGTTCGATTACTGATAAGACACGTTAATGATGATGATGATGATGATGATAATAAAAAATGAATTAAAACGATCGATTTATTGATTTTTATGTACATAGAAAAAAAAAAATTATGAGAATGGGAGAAAGGAAAGGAAAAAATAAAATCGTTTGCTTCTTATTCATTATAAAATCTATAGTAATGGACGTGATACTATTGATGATGATGATAATAATAATGATGATGATGATGATGATGATTAAATAAAGCCAAGGGGAAGTTATTCCAGAGAGTATAAAGTTCTCGTATAGTAACAAAGAAAATTTAAAAAAAAATAAAATAGTCATAAATAATGCTTGAAAATATTATTATTATTATTATTTGAAAATTTAAAACAATAATATTTCGACGCTGTTTGTCGTTTGTCGTTTGTAGTAATTAAAAAAAAATAAATAAAAACAAAATTTTTATGTAGAAAATTATGCTTATGAGAAAACAAAAAAAAAACAAATAACTTCGATTGCTTTTTATTAGTCAAACAAAAAATCATTATTATTATTATTATTATTATTATTATCATTATTATTATTAATAACTCTCGCTATTTTTAGAATAATAAGAAGGGGAAAAGAAAAAAAAAAAAAAAACCTTTTATGTGATTTATATTATTATTATTACGTCGCGTGATGAATATGTCAAATACTCGAAAGCTAATTTTTTTCTTTCCCCCCTTTCCTTCCCTTCCCTCCCCCTAATTTTATCGTCGATTATTTAATTACATTCTCCCTCCTCTCCCTCGAAACGTTTGTTTGTTTGTAAAAAATGTTTGCGTTACCCAATCGAATTAATAGATCTCAATATAATTATTATTTTTATTATTATTATAATTTACGATGTGAAAAATTATTATTATTATTATTATTACCCACGCAATTGTATTCCCCTCCCCTTCCTTCCCCCTTAAGTTTTTATATAATGATAATAATAATTATCGCGTTTATTTTTTTATTATTGATGTTAATTAAATGTTTGTATTGTGTTGTGACATGTTTAAAAAATAAATAAATAAAACATAAAGTTATTTAAAAAAAATTTATTATCATTATTATTATTATTATTATTATATGGAATATATATATATTTATTTATTCCACGTTTTACATATATATTATTATTATTATTACTGGATAACTGGAGTGAAGTTGTACATGGAGAAGTTGTCCAGATATATAAAATTGACGGTTGGAATTTTTAAATTCCATTGTGAAATTATTATTATTATTATTATTTATTATTATTAATATTTTCTTCTTTTTAATATTTCAGGTCTCCAATTGATCGGATTAGTTTCTTCGGTCTGAAATTTACCAACATAAAAAAAAAAAAAAAAAGAATTAGTTTTCAAAAAAAAAAAAAAATTGAAAAAAAATAAATTAAAATTTAATTATAATTACAGCAGTTTCATCTTCTTTGTATATTTTAATCGTTTTATCAGCTTCCGCCGTTATCAATCTAGTGCCACTTTTATCAAAATTCATGGCGAATATTCCAGCTTCGCTATCCATGGAACCGGGTTGAACGAGTGCTTGCAACCTTTGAAAATTGTAACCCGTTCTCCAGTCCCAAAAATGAAGAGTACCATTATCTCCGCCGGACACTAAAACTCCATCTTGATTCACGGCTAAACAATTGACTATGGCGTTGTGACCGGAAAGATTTTGTATGAATTTACCATCTGGACATTTCCACTGTTTTATATTGTCTGGAGATGCTGATGCAAACATGTACCTGGAAAAAAAAGAACAATGGAAGTGAGGTGGGGGAAACTAAATATATATAAACACTAAATGATTTTAACTTACAGGAGAGGATGAAAAACTAACGATCTAACACTTTTCTTATGATTTGTTAATGTCACTCTCGATTTTCCAGCTGCCAAATCCCAGAGTCTAATCGTACAATCATGACTCCCCGTTATGATCTGCGGTTCTGCAGCTTGACAAATGACACTGGCTACAGTGTTCGAATGACCTGTCAGAGTGTGAACATTGGCTTTTGTTCTCATGTCCCACACTCGAGCTGTTGAATCTCTACCTGCCGTTGTGAGAACGTCAATTTGTGGATGTAATGCTAATGAATACACTGCACTTAAATGTCCATGGTAATGCCTTATCACTTTGTTATATTCTAAATCCCAGCACTTAACTTGTCTGTCTTCACCACAGCTAAACAAGTATGGATGACGAGCACTAACTTCTAAACCTCTAACAGTACTTATGTGTCCTGTTAATGAAACTTTTAATTTTCCAGAAGCAAGGTCCCATATTTTTATAACTCTATCTCCCGATCCTGTGGCTATCCATTCATTTCCAGGTTCGACAGCAATACATCTGACCCAACCAAGATGTCCCGATAGAACTCTGTACAATTTCCAAGGTGGGTGCCATTTTGGTTTGGGCATGGTTGGCGGTTTTCTCGGAGTGAGCATTTGAGTTGTTGTGTTTGTAGTGATCAAAGCTCCCGCAGCTGGTGCAGCAGGAACAAGAGGTAAATTTTCATTGTTCAATGGTACATTATTTTCTGCTCCATTTTCATTAACTGAAATTTCTTCCTCATTGGTAAGTGGATTTGATTTTTTAACGATATTGTTTTTAGAATTTTTCATTCTTTCAAAAACCCCAGAATAACAGTCTCTTGCTTTTACTGCTTTCTTGAGTTTTTCTCTAAAATAACATTAAAAGAAATAAATAATAATAAATAATTTATTTAAAAAATAAAAACAGAATAAAAATTTTTAAACAAAATTTCTCTCACGCTTTTTCATCGACCGCAGGAAGGAGTCCTTGATTTGACAAAAACATATCATGTGTTCTTTTTAAAGAACGAAAAACTAGAGTATGAACTGAATGTCTTTGAATATCCTATAATAAATAAAAAACTTTATTAAAAATAAAAATAAAACACCGATTTCAAAATATTTACTGTTTTTTAGGTTAAAGCATTTATTTTAAAATTATCTATTTATGCGTATATTGCGTTTCAGAATAAATAAACAAATTATACTGCTTATTTCATTATTTAAATAAATGTTTATCATTATTTAATTAAATAAATGATTAATTGTTATTATAAAAAAAAAAATTAATAAATTAAATTTCAAACTTACGTCCCCCATTTTTATTGTAAACAATTGTAGCAAGATGGCGGACGAATTTCAACCAAAATGGCGGACAAACGTTACTTGAACTGCAGCAAAAATATCTCATTTGGCGGTTAGAAATGAAGGAAGACATTATAAGTGATTTTTAAGTTTTAATAACGTCGTTTTATTTGACGAGAAATTAAAAAATAACAAAATAAAAGGTAAAAAGGTAAAATAAACTTCAGTATTTACTTATTTCAACTTATTTATCTTAAATTGTTTCAAACGGAGTTTAAATTCGGTTTCGTTTTTATGGACGTGTTGTTAAGATGTGTAAATTTTTAATTGAAAAAAAAAAGTGTAAAAAATGAAAAAATAATGTCGTATATTGCATAATTACTACAGGATACATATATTACATTACAGAGGTAAGTTAAGTTTTTGTTTTTTTATAAAACATTCTAGAAAAAATTATAAGATTACAAAAATATATATTTATATAAGTGTGCATGAATACGAATTCGTTACGTATTATCGATTACAATATTAAAATTTTTAAATTATCGTAAAAAAATATAAATATAAAATCTTTCGTATTTATGATTGTAAACTTTGGTAACTTATACGATTAATGAAAACATTTTACTTAAAAAAAAAAAGAAAAAAAGACCACTGCGGCATTGTAAGATTCATTTAAATATCACAGATAGGGAAGACGAATTTTTATGACTATGTTAAAATTTATTAAATAGGGGATAATGTTTTTTGTTCGTGTAATGTTACTTCCGGATGCCAAACATCTACTATTAGCACTAATCTCAGACTTGTTCCGTTATGCCAAACCTCGTGTTCGAAACTATCATCGAAAACAATAATTTTTCCCTCTTCCCATGTCCTGAAACATTCGAAGAAAAAACATGAGTTTAACATACAACTCCAAAACCTTTCTTTTTTTAAATACCTCGTTTCTTCGGCGACTCTTATGTATGTATTTTTTGGTACGACTAAACCCAAATGACTCCTCAGCCGACAATTGGTGGGTCCACAATGAGGCCAAACGTGAGTATTTGGATGCATGACGCTGAATTTGATCTGTCCTCTTGTGCAACTTGATGCTGGCTTGAAAGAACTGACTAGAGAACATGTTATGGGTGCTCTTTTACAACTAGCTTGTTGCCTTCCTACACACAAACCATCCAAATAATTACATCAAACCTTTTTCCAAGTGACCTGCTAAAACTCTTCTTTTTGTTTTTACCTCTTATGAAAAGATCTAATTGTCGCCAATCACCGACGTCGGTTAATTTTTCAGATTCTACTTTAAATAAATTATTTCCTTTTAAATTAAGAAGGTCGAGTCCCTCTTTTCGAATTTCTTTCCAATTCTTTTCAAGCTTCCTACACAAACATAAAAAAAAAAAATTTTTTTGAGATTCCACAATAAAAAAGTAAACCCATCATCATCATTATCATTTTCTTTTCTCACTTGAAAAATTCTCTATAAGTCGTTTCTTCAATCGTCCACCACGGTTGGCTTTTCAGTCTTTTTATGTTGTATAAACTCCTTTGGTACCTGTTTAAAAATAAACCTTCTTGAACTCCTATGTCGTACCATTTGATGGCTTCGTTAGCTCGTCCCAACCTTAAACAAACCTTAAATAAACAAAATTTTCACACACACATACAATTTTCCTTTTTATAAATTGATCATTAACCTGTTCAATGCATCTCCCAGATGGAAAAAAAACATTCCATCAATGACGCCATCTTCTCGCGTTTGTATTCCTTTCATTAACAATTGGGAACCTTCTTCTAAATTATTATCCGTCGTTTTCAATATGAAACCGTAATGAACGAGAGCAAATCCGTCTGTAGGCCAACGTTTTAATGTTTCTTTTAAAACTTTTCTTGCGGGTTCGATATTGTTTAACATTAGGTAACTCACGGCAAGTGCGTTCCTGTATTTGGGATTGTTTGGAAACCTCGCAATCAATGCTTTGTGAACTTCTATCGCGAGCACAAGGTGTCCTTGTTAAAAAACAAACAAAACTTATCGTTAAAAACAATCTTTTTCCAATAATAATAATAAGAAAACCAACAAATCCATACCACCGAATCTCATTCTTGCTATGCAAACCTCTGCCAATTTCTTATAAGTGTCATCATCAAGTTTCGAACCGTGGTTTAACAAAACATTCTTGTAGGCTACGATTCCTTGTTTTAAATATGCGTTACTCTTTTGTTTTTCTGCCATGTGATCCAATGCTTTAGCTCGTCCCACCAGTGCTTTTATCAGGTTTGGCTTTTCCATTAGGATTTTCTCGTACGTTCGAAGAGCTTCTTGAGGATTCTTTTTACAAAGGGTAAAGGTTGTTAGTGCAAAAACAAAAAAAAAAAAAAACCAAATGAAAATTAAATTTTTATCAAAAAACCTTTTAGTTAATGTTAATTTACAATCATAAATTTTCATGCCATTTTCTTTTTTGTAATCTTTTTTTAAATGTATATTATGATTAATTTTGTTTTGTTAACATTAAAATATCACAATCATTTTGATACATGTGTGTAGTAGTACATGTAGTATATTATTATTATGATTTTATACAATCAATCAATCAATTAAAAACAGGTGGGGGGCGGGGCGGGAGAAAGGGGAACGGGGAGGGGGAAAAGAAAAATCAAAACAAAAATAAAACTCACTCAAGTAGGAAATCTAAACAAACAAAAAATTCTAAAACTAACAATTGACTAATAATAAATAAGAAAAAAAAAAAAAAACTATTCAAATCTAAAATATTGTTAAATTTTTTTTTTTTTTTTTAAATGAGAGGGAAAAACAACAACAACAACAACAACAATAACAACACAAGATTAATCATTAAAATAAAATTAGAAAAAAAAAAAGCAAAGGAAACTAAAAAAATTTTTTTTTTTTTTTAAATGGAAATATCTAATCAAAGCCCTGAAAGAGAAGATTTTCATATGATAATAGGTTAATATTTATTTGTGATAAGAAAAATGTATGAAAATTTTCTTTTAGAAATATCTTTTCTCTTTCTCTCTCTCTCTCTCTCACTCTCTCTTTACTAATTGTTATTATTATTATTATTTGTTTGTTTAAGAAATGAAAAAAATTCTCACGTTTTGAAATTGCTCTTCGGCATATTTGAAATCTTTTCTAAATGACCATTCTTCTTCTTCTTCTTCTTCACCTGGTCCTCCTTCTGGTCCTCCACCTCCTTCTTCTTCTTCTTCACCTGGTCCTCCTCCTCCTCTCTCTTCTTCATCACGATCGAAAGTATTCGAATATTCGTCTGGTTTTACTTCTTCGTCATGATCTTCACCTGATAATGAATAAAAAGATTTTTCGTAATCCTTTTCTTTTTTTTCTCCTTTTTAAATTTTATTTCTGGTACCTTCGATCGAATCATTTTCAAACTCGTTATTTTCGTTTAAATTTTCTTCGGCCGATAGACCCCCACCCCTTTTATTCGTTCTCGGTGGCGGAATAGGTGGTGATGATGATGATGATGACGATTCCGTCGTCAAATCTTTAAATGATAATAAATAAGTTTACATTTACGTTTATGGGAAAAATATTATGATGATGTATGGAAATGCGCGATGAGAATGTTTTGCTTTTTATAGAATTCTAAAAATACAAACCTTACGAAAGTTTAATGAGAAAAAAAAATGATAATAATAATAATAATACAAACATTTGTTGGGTGGTTCTAATGTGATCCTGTTGTTTTTTTCCAAATAATTATCATTATCTTCTTCTTCGTCTTCGACATCTTCATCCTCGTCGTAATCGTACTCATCGTAATCATTATCATTATCCTCATATTTATATTTATTATTATTATTATTATTATATTGTTCGTCATTATCGCTATAATTTTCTTCTTCCTCTTCCTCTAAGTTTTCATCATCATCCACTTCTTCTTCTTCTTCTCCTAAATCTTCACTTACTTCTTCTTCTTCTAAATCTTCACTTAATTCTTCCTCTTCCTCTTCTTCTTCTCCCAAATCTTCACTCATTTCTTCTTCTTCTTCTTCTTCGCGGTGACGTTCGTAAATATTTGTCTTATTACCGTAATTTTCCTTCAGATCAACTTTATCACTTTTCATATAATCATAAATTTTTTTCCCCATTTCTTTTTCGAATTCATTCATTTCTCTGTCGGTTTTAATTCCTGTTAAATCATCATCATCATCATCGTTTTTTTTCAAGGAGGTTTCAAATGGGTTTACACAAAAACTGTAATTAATCGTTGATTCTTCTTCTTCTTCTTCATCTTCTTCTTCTCCTTCATCTTCAATATTATTCTCTTGGTTTAATAATACGTCTTGTGGTATTAAAGTTTGTTTTCTTGATATGACAGGAGGTTCCGAATTTGCGATTTTCGATTCCTCATAATCACCTGATGTCGATTCTGAACAATAAATATTTAATAATAATTAACAATTGAAATATTAAATTAACAGTTGTTTAAAATAAGGCAAATTAAAAGCGAAAAAAATTCGTAGCTTTTCGTAACAATGAGTCCTTTGTATATTGTTCAGTTTTTTTATGTTTTGTTCAGATCATGATTACATGAAAGCGATTTTTTTCTATGTGAATATAAGTTAGCTTGCAAATGGTATTGACTCAAGCTAGCTGACACTACGTGCTTATTAATTACATATATATTATTATTAGAAAAATTCAAAAAACATCCAAAACATAAAAATGTTACCCCTCGTTTTCCATTTCTGAACAAGCACCAAATGTGCAACGATGATCAAAGCAATTCCTACACCCACTTTAACAGCCACTACAAAAGAAGATACAAAAATATCTGTCAGCCGAGTGTCAATTTTAACCATTTACAAGTTTAAATTTTTACTAAAATTTAAATTTAATCTGTTCTAACCTCTTCTAGATTCTGAATTTTCTATTTCTTTATTATCATTATTATTTTCATTATTTTCATCGATATCATCATCATGTGAAATTTCTTTATTATTATTATATAAAACTTCATCATTTTCTGCATCAGTATTTTCTTCGCTGTCCTCTATTTCATCATATCCCAAATTATAATTGAAATTGATGAAATTATTAAAATTAAAATTTTGTTTTTCTGTTTCAATGTTGTCTTCGATAAGTTTTCCTTCATTCGAATCCTCATCACTTCCGACAGAATCATCATCTGTTGTGCTTTCATTTATGATCTGAGATTTTAATGATTTATCATTTATGTTATTTTCCACTTCATTGCCTTTTTCAATAACCTCCTCACTTTTAGTATTTATTGTTTTTTTTATATTATCATCATCAATTTTGATAGATTTATCAGTATCTTCATCATCAGAAATGTTCTCGCTGTCTTCGATATCTTCATCATCAGAAATATTTTCACTGTTTTCGATTTGTTTAGCATCAGAAATGTTCTCACTATCATCGATATCTTCAGCATCAGAGACATTCTCACCATCCTCGACATCTTCATCATCAGAAATATTCTCACCATCCTCGACATCTTCTAAATCATTACCATGTGGTTGATTCTGTTCGGCAGTAGTTTTATGAAGAACATTAATATTGTTCTTATAAGTTTTCAAAATTTTATTTTTTTCCAAATTTTTCCTCACATTTTCAAAATATTCATCATTAAAAGAAAAAATTTCTCTAGGTTTCACATCATTTCGTTTCTTTTTTCCTTGAAATTTATACTTGAATTTATTCTTTTTAAAATCATCATCATCATCATCATCATCATCATAAACCTTATTACCCCCATAATTATTATTATCATCATCATCATCATCATCCTCATCTTAGAAATTTAAGAAACAAAATAAAATTAAAATAACGAGTATGAAAATGAATGTAAATGAAACATTATAAAGTTGATAAACGACAAAAAAAAAAAACAAAAAAATTTAATACCATCTTGTAAAGTTGAAGTTTCATCGCTTTCTTTTCTTTCTTCTGATGCAAATTTTTCTTCTGAACCTGATAAAAAAAATACAAAAAAGGTTTTAATGTTAAAAAGTTTTCCAAAATATGAAAATCTTTCTCTAGTGTATAATCAAACCTTGATCTTGGATTTTATCATTTTCAGAGTCACGAACTCCATCATCATCATCATCATCATCATATGAACTCGAATTTGGAACATTATCATCATCTTCATCTCCATCTTCATGACTTTCGCCAAATTCATAATTATTTACTTCAGGTTCATGAGATTCGTCTTTATGATCATCGACTGTTTCATCTAACCAACCGGTAAAATATTCAGCAAATCTAGATTCTTCTATTGAAGGTAAGTCGACTAACACAAAAAAAAAATATTAATAATAATAATAATAATAATAATAAGACAAAATTAAAATTCTCAATTTATATTACCATCAGTTGAACCCTGAGAATGAATATAAATTAATCCGACAGCTCCGACTAATAAACCGAAAAAGCAGAAAAAAATTATTTTAACACAACTATTACCACCGACTCCGACATCATTTTGTACATGTATTCTTTCTCCTTGATCATTAGAAAAGGAATTTTTTTTATTATGGCCATCAGATTTAAATTTGTTCCCTGAATCTCCATCACTTCCCATTCCATAATCATCATCTAAAAATTAATAACGGATATTTTTGTCATATCTAGAATCCATTTTATTTTTCCTTACACAATAATGATAATTTCCTATACTGCTATGATATAACACCCACATAATTTATATTTGAACTTTTTCTTTCTTTTATTATAAAAAAAAAAAAAAAGGTATATAAATTTATAAATTGTTGTTTGAAATTCTTAAAACTAACAAAATATTACAATAAAATTTATTAAAAATGAAATATTTTGTGGAAAAAAAGGTTACAGTTAATAAAATAAAATGATTTAAGATGAAAAAAAAGGGAAAAAAGTAAAAGGGAAAAATAATTTTTAAATTTAAAAAAAAAAAGGGGGGGGGGGGAAATTAATTATATTTTGTAACATTTAAAATGAACTTTTTTTTTAATTCAACCTTTAAATTCCCCTTTTTTTTTCCTTTTTTTTTTTTTTTTTTTCAATTGAATATCCCCCGACATTTTTTTTTTTTTTTTTTTTTATTCTCCTCTTTTACTAAAAAATTTATTTTATTATAAAAAAAAAAAAATTTAAATATTAATATTTAATAATAAAAAGAGTAGAGAAGCAAAAATAAAAAATAAAAACTTTAAAATATTTATATATATATTAAAAATAAAAAAAAAAGAAAAAAAAAATAATAAAAATAAAAAAAAATTAAACTTAAATTAACCGTTTGAAAATATTAAACCTTTTAACCCCCGTTTAGTCAGTCTTCTGTAGTTATTTTTAAAACCGGGTTCAAGATTTTTTTTTTTGTTGTTGTAACTTTTTTCCTTTGAATTCTTTTTTTAGATATCGTTTATATAAAAAATAGTATTATTATTAATAGTTAAAAAAAAAAAAAAAAAGAAAAACATTTTTTTTATTAAAGATTAATCTCTCCCTCTTTTTTTTTTTTTTTTTATTAATAAAATAAACGTTACGGTTGGAAAAAAAAAAAAAAAAAAAAAAAAAAGTTGTTAGGAAATGAAAGTTTCATAATTTTTATTAATTATTAAATATATTTTGTTTATTATGAAAGTATTGTAATGACGCTGCTTTAAAAAGAAAATTTTTTTTTTTTTTTAATTAAAATTTGGTGATAAATTTTTTTAATAACGGATTCATTTTAAAATGAACGTGAAATTTATCCAAGGAATTTATTTATTTGATGTTAATAACCTTTCCATGTACGACGTATCCGATTGATGAAGAAGAACGTCTGCTGAAAAACAAAATGGAGTTAGCATCTATACAAGAAAAATTAAAAGCCGAAGGATGGTATGTTATTATTTATTAATTACATATCGATTTATATTTTTATTTTAAAAACCTTTAACCACACAATTATTATTATCAAATTAAAAATTTCCCATATAATTTTTTTAAAATAAATATTTATTTTAAATGGGGGAAAAAAAAAAAAAAAAAAAAAAATATTTGATTTACGTTTTTGTCTTGTTTTCAATTTTAGGAATTTATCGAACAACGGAATAGATTTAATAAGTCAAAATGGAAAAATAACTGATGTTAAAACACTTATAAAAAAAGCATTAGATGTAAGTGTGCTCCTTTTTTATTTATAATTTATTTAAATTTCATTTTTTTTTTTATTAATTTAATTTATAACCTTAGTAACAGGTAGGTAGGTAGGTAGGTCATTAATCTAACTCCCCTCCTACATTATTATTTTATTTAATTAAATTTTTTTTTTGTTTTTATCAGTTTAAAATGTCTTTAAATGTTGTCAATATGAGATGGGATGATTGGCTGAAATGATTGAATGTGTTGACATTTTTTAAAAGACGATGATCACATTATCGTTTTATTTATCGTTATCCATTTTTCAGGTCGATTTAAAATCGATTTCTGCGGGAGCCTTGCCGGAAGATTTAAGCAAAACCAAATATGAAGAATTACCGGGGAAAATCATATTGCAAATACAAAAAATTAAAAATTTATCAAGTCCTAAAAGTTGTGAATATAAATATAATCCAAGTACAAGCATATTGAAATTAAATCTCACTGATGGAGTTCAAAACATTCAAGCTATTTTAATGGATTCAATTGATAATATTCACATAAATACTTTTCCCGGTAGTAAAATATACATCACATCCGAGACTATTGCTCTGTCGCACGGTTTTTTGCTTTTATACAGTTCTAATGCTCAATTTCTCGGTGGAAAAGTTGATAATTTAATTGAAAAATGGGAATTGAACAAGGTTTGATGGAAATGAAATTATTATCAAAATTTTTTATTTTGTTTAATTAATTTCTCCCTTTTTTTTTTTTTCTTCGAAAGAGGTTGGCTAAACATACCAGAGATAGAATCGAAGAAGGCGGTCCACCACCTTGGATCGGATTCGGTCAGAAAATAATCAAAGCTAACGGATCTGATAAAAATTTTAAATCATTAGATTTAGGTATGAATGATTTTATTTTCTAATCATTGAAAACTTTAAAAAAAAAAAAAAATTTTTAATTCATATCATCATTTATCAGCTAAAAACAGAGATACGTTGGAAAATAGCGAATTTGAAGCTCAGAGAAAAGATGCCATTTTAGAAGCGACTAAAATAGGTTGTACTAAAGTTTTTGGTGGTGGAAATAATAAATTATTGGATTATAATGTACAGCAAATTGTCGATGCCGGATTCACAATCGAAGATGCAGAATATGCTCTTAAGATAAGCAAAAATAATTTGGATAAAGCTTTAAGGTTAGTGTGTGTGTGTGTGTGGTCAAAATGAAATCTTAGGAAATGGTTATCTGAACATGGTAAAAAAAAAATATGATTTATTGTGTTTATAGAAATCTTCAGAATAAATATAATAAGTCTGTTAAAGATGATAATTTGAAATCGAACAGTAAATCAGGAGGAGAAGAAAAAAAAGGGGGTAAAAATCGAAATAAGCATAGAGATGATGAATCAGGACCTTCTCTCAAGCCTAGTGGTAAAGTTTCTCTTTTTGAATTTTTAGAGGACAAGTTACCATTTACTGGTAAGTAATTCAAAATCCCAGGAAATTTTTTGAAAAATTTTGTATTACTCAATTGATTTTTCTTTTACAGAACCCCCCGTGGAAATGAAGCCACCAGAAAAAAGAAATGGTAATGTTTCGAAACAAATAAAGACGAATTCGAAGGGTAATACGGATCGGGTTCGTTTTTCTTACGACGACAAGAGAAATTCAGATAAATCAGATGTTAAAAGTCACAAGAAAAATTTCGATTCGTCAAAACCGTTCAGTAAATACGATTACAACAATGACAAACGTGGAAATTATTCGGATAAAAAATCAGATTTTGGAAAATTTGAAATAAATAAAAAAAATTCAGATGGAGGACTAATGAATTCGAGGAGCGATAAGAGTTTTGGTAATTTCAAAGCGAAACACGAATTAAAAAATGGCGAATATTCTACGAGAAACGATTTGTTCAAAAATAAAATATCCGATAAAAGAAATCAAAACAATTCAAATCCGAGTGCAATAAAGACTCATGGAAAATCCATGGACGTGCCGGAGAGTAAAAAATCGTCGAATTTTAATCAGATAAATGAAAAGCCTCCGAGATTTCAAAAATATCAACAACATCAACAAAATGATAATAATCATTTGATTCAAAATTGGAACGAACATAATTTTAATAGAATCTCACAATGCAATGATTATCAATTGCAAAACAGTCTTGCGAATTTAACTCTTCAGCAAAATATTGCCAATTTTCAAAATCAAAATTCTCAGGATGGATTTGGTGAGGGTTTGACCGGTGGTAGGTAGCATCTTGGCTGACGCCATTTTATTTGATTTAATATTGATGTTGATTTTGGTTTTTTTGTTATTGGCAGGAGTTCCATCGAACGGTACAAAACCAAATAATTTGTTTTACCAAAATTTAATTATTCCATCGAGTCAATCGAACGATAATAGGTTTAGTGGATCACAAAACACTCAACCACCTCCCCAACAGTCCCAACACATAAGTGCTTTTGGGAATCGAAACGTTGGCGGTTATTTGCAACAACAAGATATGAAAAGTTCAGCTTTTTCAAATATTTCTAGTTTGCAAGATATACAGTTTAAAAACAGCGGCTCGTTACTTCACGGTATTATTATTAACAAATTAGCAACTTTTCTAATTTTTGTGTAAGTGTAATAACCTCTTATACATGATATTATTTAGGTTACAATGATTTTCAATCAGTTTTTGGTAACGCTCGAGCTCCTTCGACAAGTTACATAAACCATCCATATCTTACTGGACCAAATGGTATCACACCTCAGTCGCATAAGAAGTGGATGTGGACCAAAGGTGATAAATGCATGGCTAGATATTGGGAGGACCAAATGGTTTGTCACATTTATACATTTTTTTTTTTTCCATCATATTATTAATTTCTTCGATGGGGAGGAAAAAATTTAATCGAGATTTCTGTTTTTTTTTTAGTACTACAATGCAGTCGTCACAGCCGTTTCTGATAATACGTGCGTAGTGAGGTTTACAGATTATGGAAACTACGAAGAAGTTTTACAGGATCATTGTATTCCAATAACCGAGGTATAAATCTACTTTTTAAATTCTTTCATAGAGTAAAAAGTCGAATGCGAGTTATTAATTAATATTATTATTATTTTCAGGAATCATAGGAGCTGATTTCTTGTTTCAGATTTTTATATTTTTTTCTGAAACAAGTCGACACACACTTACCATTCATGTTAGCTTACAACAGTAACAGTTTGAGTTTAACAATTAAAATTAAAATTTCTTTTTTTTTTTTTTTTTTTTTTCCCTCATGCATTGAATAATTCATATGAAAAATTCATTGGAAATTTTTTTTTTTTTGCTATTAGAGCAGTTTTTCGGTTAGAAATAGAAAAAAAGAAAGAAAGAAAGAAAGAAAGGAAAAAAATAATAATAATGATAGATGCATTAATATATATATATTGATTATTATTCTTAGTTTACAGATAATATTATATATATACAATATATATATATATATATACTGATTACTTACATCTTTTCGAATAGTAAAATTAATTATAAATGATGCAAAAAAAAAATTTAGTAATTTAACACATTTTAATGGTACTACATGTTATGAAATGTCGCTTAAACGAAAAAAAAAAGAAAAATTTATGTTAGAAAATCCCTTATTAATAATAATGATGATAATAATGAACAAATACTATTGTTAGCCTTCCTGTAATAATTTATTTGTACGTTTACGCATAATATGTTTTCTCTTATTATCTAATATTATAATAATAATATGTCATGGAAATAATAATAATAATAATAAAAAACACAAAAAAATAAAAGTTTTTTTTTGTATGTTATTGTAAAATAATACTTTTTTTATTTTATCTTTTCTTTTTGGAAAAACGTCATGATGTCACACTCGAGAGAAAATCATCATTTTTAATTTTAAAAAAGGTAAAAAAATTTTAACGAACAACACGAAAACAAATTTATATTATTTTGTTTGTTTATTTTAATAATCTCATCGTACAGGATTACGATTTGATTTTAAATAATTAAAAACTCGAAATGTTTTCTTTTTTTTTTTTTTTTTTTTTAAATATATAAATTGTTATCGAGAAAACAAAAAAGAAAACGGTAATCGAACAAACGCGAACGCGGATTTTTTTTAAAAATGGCAACGTGTTTTTTACTTAAAATGTCGTGTCATCAGATGAAAATTTTGCCTCCAACTGACGCATGCGTCACTGTAACAATTTGAAACTTAATTTGCAAACGTGTTATTTTTTTAATTTTTTTTATTTAAGATAATAAGTGTTTAAACAAATATAAAAGAACAATTATTTTTTGTTTGTGTTTCTGTTTTGTTTCTTTACATATTTTTATGAAAGGTGAGAAAGAATTAAATTAAAAATAATATTTTATGTAATTCCAAGAGGTAAGTATACTTTACACACACACACACACAATAATATAATCGTTTAATAATTTTTGTACTGTATAATTTTTAAATAAAAAAACTATTTTAAAATGTTTGCAATCAATATTACGATATAATTATATATATTAACTGTCACGTTTTAGTAAATGAATAAAAATTTAATTAAAACAATTTATAACCGTAAGTTTCTGTCCCCCTCCCCGCGTTTCCTAATCATTGAAATGTCATTCATTGTAAATGTATAAAAAAAAAAAAATTAACGACTTTTTTTTTTTTGCTTGGTAAAACGTAGATAATAATAAAAAATGTGCTGAGTGAATTAGTTTTCTTATCTCGAATATTATAGAAAAAGAAAATAAGCATTTATTTAAATTTAATTTCAAACGTTTTGCTTTTTTAAACGGATTTATTTTCATTTGTTTAAATATAATGCATCTGTGCTCGAGCATACACAAACGTTTTTAATGTCATAAAAACATTTTCATATACGTAATATTTCCTTTTTCTTGTTTTTTAATTTTATTATATTTTAAAAAAAAACGTTTACGATCATCCATTTTTTTTCTTATATAAAACGAACGAAAAATGAAAAGAGAAAAAAAAAAACGTTGTCGTTCTCACGAAAACGATCAATATCTTATGTGACGTCATTAAAACGTCCGCCATTTTTAATAAAGAACAATTTGAACGAAAAACGTTTTTTTTTTTCGTGCGACTGAAAATTTATTATTTTTAGTAATAATTTATTTGTTTGATGAGGTTTTTTTATAATTTAATTTATTGAAATTGATTTTAAATTATTTTTTTATTTATTTTAGTGAGAAGAATCGTTAATGTCATCATAAATAGAAAATAAAGACGTTATTTGTCGTGTCATTATAATTGGACGGACAATGTTCTAGAACTTTCTAGAACAAAAAATCGTTTCTTTTGGCGTTTATCTATCAGTAAGTTTGGTTTTTTTTTCGTTTTTGGTTTCCTGGTTGTAATAAATCAAAATTAATCTTTATTGTGTCATAATAATGTTAGTTTGTTGTTTATAAATTACTGTTTTAACAAACAAACAAGCAAACAAACGCACACAGGCACAAAAAACGTTAAAACGTTTTAAAAAAAATTTGATTTTTTTTTGTTAAATTATTTATTTATTGATTATTTAAGAATTATTATTATTATTATTATTGATTTTGTTTTTGAAATTTAATAAAAATTTTCCATTGTTTAAATAAATTTTAAAAGACAAATACAAACAAACAACCAACAAACATTTGATTGATGATTAAATTTTCTTTATTATTATTATTATTAGTAGAATTATTAATAATGATTAGCTTTATGTGGTAGTTATCCAACAATCAGTTAAAGTTTTTTTTTTTTTTAGAATAAAAGTTTGGAGGAAGGTAGGAAGGTGGTGGTGGTGGAGATGATGATGATGATGATGATGATGAACTTTATTGAAGTCGTCCCACATTACACGATTTCCGGTATGTTTTTTTAAATACTTGAAATTTTTTTTTGTTTTAACTTGACCTTTTTATTAATGATTGTGACAAGGTCCTAAAGTGTCCTAGTTTTCTTTTACAATCTTTCCAGACAATTTCCTTTGTTCTAATTCCTCTCTTTTAAACCTTTTTCAAGTTCTTTGTCTTATAAGTGTGATAATATCCTGTTTGTTATCTGTAATGGTTCTTTTTAGGTATGTTGTTGTAGGTCATGTAGAACTTCTCTTCTTGTCAGACTTTTAAAATTGTTTATCCGCTTGGTTTGATCCTCACCTGCAACTATGATAAATTTGTTATTATTATCACTCTTAAACTCGGCGTGATTTGTGTACTTGTCGGAGATTTTAAGCTTTCATTCCAGGTTTATACCGGATTCCTTAGGGATAAATGTTCGAATGTCGGTGGTGTTGTCAAAGAATGTCGGCCGTTCTACTTCCTGTACGGTTTCTTCTTATTGTCTTACTTCATTAAATGTGGCATAGCTCCCAGTGATGCTCCCACGATGACCAGAATAGTTTCTGTTTTTACTCCCTAAATCCTGGATATTTCTATTTCCAAATTTCTGTACTTCAGCTTATTGTCTGCTTCTTTGGATGTTTGGTATTTTTTTCCATTGGTACAGATACTTTAATTCATTTACACCATTTTTCAGAATAATATCCGGTTTGTTGTCTGAAACAGTTCTATCAGTGTGCTATTTATAATATTTTCCGAAGAACGCGGGGCGTCCCACATAGTGCGATTTCCTGGATGGTTTCTTCTTTTAGGTTCTTCAAAATCTTTAAATTTCTTTTTATTGAATGTGGCATGGCTCCCAGTGATGCTTCCAAGATGATGGGAATCGTTTCTGTTTTTGTTCCTTACATCCTGGCTATTTCAATCTCTTTCTTTGGCTGTCTGATATTTTTTTCCATTGGTACGGATACTTCAATTAATTTACACCATTATGCTTCAGGATGATATCCTGTTTGTTGGCTGGCACAGTTCTGTCAATGTGTATTTGTTGGTCGTATAGAACTGTGCGTGGGGACCCACTGTCATAACCGGATTTGAAATGAGGTTTTACCACTCCTCGGGTAATCCATCCATTCCATATTCCCGACAGATATTCCAGTGGAGTTGTTATTATTATTATTATTGCAACAATAAACACCATAACGATAATGAATTGAGTCATTTTTATATTTTCATGACACACACACACACAAAAGGTTTTTAGTTTAAATTGAAACTCCCATCGGGGAATTTCTTTGTGTGTTTGTTTGTTTTAGTATTAATATTATTATTATTATCATTATTATTTCAAATAATTATGTGAGAAATGGTAAATAATTTAAATTTTTTTACGCCTTTTTTGTCAGGATTGCAAAAATTAACAATAAAAAATTTATAAGTAGTAGTAGTAGTAGTGATGAGGAAAAATCGATTTTTGGAAAAAAAAGGAATGAGAGAAAGAGAGAAAGAGCGAGAGCGAGAGAGAGAGAAAATGTTAAATATAGGATATGATAAAATAAAATAATGAGAAAATTATAAGAAAAAAAAAGGGAAAAAATAGGAAAACACATTCAATGTAAAAAAAAATTTATATATTTATATATATATTTTTTTCTTCACTTAATTGACTCCAGGTTTTAATGATCTCCCGTTGCGAGTCAATGTGAAAAAAACACTAAAAGCAAAAAAAAAAGGAGAAAAGAGAGAGAGAGAGAAAATTTTTTATTTTATTATTTTTTTCTGTAATTTTATTTAATTAAAAAAAAGAAAAAATTCTTTCTCGAAATGATATCATTTCAAAAACGACGAGGAATAATTTTTAATTTTAATTTTTTTTTCGAGTGTGTGCAATTTTTACGTTTTATTATTATTATTATTATTTTTATTCCCTTAGAATATAAAAACTTTTTTCTTTTGAAAAAAAAAATAATAATAAAATTTGATCTTTTTTTTTTTTTCATTTCAATTGAAAAAAAATATTAAAAAAAAGGAATAAAAAAGTAGAGAAACGAAAATGAAAGAAGAAAATGTAAAAAAAAAAAATGGTTGTTCGATATATCGAATGAAATCGATTCGATTTGTAATCGATATATTTATAAATCAAGTATAATAAATTCACGACACGTTTTTTTTTTACATTTAAATTCGTGAAAAAATTGGAAAGTCCTGGAAAAAATTCTGGAACTTTATAAAAAATCCTTCTTTTTGGAAAATGTGTCAATGTTAAATTATTACGTAATATCATTTTTTTTATTATTTACATTAATTTATTTATTTATAAATACATAAATAATTTATTAATGTTTACGTCACTGCTACGTAACATTAATAAAATAATTTAAAAATGAAAAATAAAAGAAATTCAAAAGGTTTCTTATTATTTTCATAGAAATTTATTTACGATTGGAAAAATTTTTTGTTTTTCGGGATTTTCTCTCTCTCTCTCTCTCTCTCCCCCACAGAATCCCTATTTAACAATTATTTATTATTATTATTATTATTATTTTTATTGTTGAACGAGGCAATGATTTTATATGTGCTTGTCAAAGTTTTTAAACATTCATTTCAGGTTTCTCTACTTGATTTTTTCGTTGGTGCTATTTATAATATTTTCCGGAAAATGTGTGGGTCGTCCCCACACATAACGCCATTTCTCGTACGGTTTCTTATTTTAAATTTTCTTTTATTGAATGTGGCTTGGCTCCCTGTGCTCCCCCGGTTTTTTCTATTTTCAGATTTCTATATTTTACCCTTTTGTTCGCTCCTTTGGCTGTCTGGTGTCTTTCTCGGTACGGATACTTCGATCAGCTTACACCATTTTTCCGCATTATGCTTGAGGATGATATCCGGTTTGTTGTCAGGATCAGTTGTGTCAGTGTGGATTTGTTGATCATACAGAACCGTGCATGGACCCACTGTCGTAACCAGGGTTGTATCATTCTTCGACTAGTCCATCCATTCCGTATTCATGACAGATATTCCAGTGGAGTTATTTACAGATTTTATTGTGACTCTTTAGGTATTCATGTTTTGTTAATATCGTACAACCGGAAATTAATTGATCGATTGTTTTCGACTTACGATTGTTTAATTCGGCACATATCATTTTGACGGGCTTTCTTCTTCTTTCAATTATAGATCCGCAATGCTTAATCTTGTACAGCTGTATTATTATTATTATTTTCATTTTTACACACGACAACATTTTGTGTCCTTGTCGAAGTTTTAAGCACTTTTTCCAGGTTTCCACTCGATTTCTTAGAAATGATTGCCCGAATATTAATGAGGTTACCTATAAAATTTTCCGGAAAATGTGGGACGTCCCAGACATGCTTTCTTTTTTATGAAATTCTTCAGAATCTGATTCAGATTTCCTTCTATTAAATGTGACGCATCTCCCCGTGCTCCCACGATGACCAGAACAGTTTCCGTTTTTACTCCCCACATCCTGGCTATTTCAATTTCCAAATTCTCCAGTTTTCCAGCCTTTTGTCCGTCCGCTACTTTCTCCGTAGTATTTTTTCCCACCGGTGCGAATTATTATTATTATTATTATTAAAAAAAGTGGTCACGATTCCCACTTTTTTTTTTTTTTAAATTCCCGGGGGGAGAAGAAGGAAGAGGTGGAAACAATTGCGAAAAATTAAATTCATTTAATTAATAATATTTTACGATGGAATATTTTTAATTTTTCGGCAAAAAAATTCTCACTTACAATAATATTAATAATAATAATAGTAGTAATAATAATAATAATAATAATTTAATTAGTCGGTGTTAAACGTTTGCGTTGTGGGATTTAAAAAAAAAAAATTTTTTTTTTTTTGGTTTGAAGTAATCAACCGGAAAAAGGAAAAACGATTCAAATTTTAAAATTGGTTTCCTATTATTAGATATAGTTCGTAAAAACGCTTATCGATTTTAAAATTATTATTATTATTATTATTTTACCACGTTTTACGTCATTAAAAAATTCATGATAATAATAATAATAATAATAATATTTTTAAACGTTGATTAAATTCAAATCGATATGGAGATTGATTCATTTAATTTTTTGCAAAAAAAATATTACGATTATTTTTTTTTTATGAGGAGTGGGGGGGAGGAGGCCTACGGATAATAAATATTTTGTACGAGATTTCCGGTTATAATTTATAGTCTATATATATAAAAGTTATAGTCTATATTTTGACCCTCGTTTTCGCTATATCAATTTTTTTTTTTTTTATCAGACGCACGCGTCGAAATTTCCATTTTTCTTTCGTATTTAATTACGAGAAAAATAATAATAATAATAATTAATCGAAAAGCACAAGTTAATTTATTAAAATAATAATAATAATAATAATAATAATGTATTCGATTAAGAATAAAAAATTTATTATTATTATTATTAATGTAGGAAAAAAATGGCGCGTTGAGTTTTTCTATCTAACAAATAAGCTGGGATTTATGTCATAAAGGGGAGGTTCCATATAAACGATCGATATTACCCCGAAAACTTGGTCGTCAGTTTTTTAAAATTCGTTCGTATGAACGGTCGTGTATATGCTAAAAGTGATTTTTTTTTTTTTTGGGGGGGGGGGAAGGGGAGATTTTTCTTCTTCAAATGATTTTTATTAGTCTTCCATTTTAAGGTAATGAAATTTTGTATGGAGAAATTGACGTAATCGTATTTTAATGTAATTTTTTTTCTAAAATGATTTTCCCGGGATTTTAATTTTGTAAAAATAATTTTTAACTTTTTCTATCCCTCATCCCTAATTGCTCCCCTCGAAACAGGGAAAAAAAAATAAATTTTATGTAATAATTATTAAATTTTTAACTTATACGCACCATTAATGACCGTTATTTATTTTACAGGGTGTGAAAAATGAATAGTATACGAAAAATGAATGAAATTATACAATTGTTGAATAAGAGAAAAAAAATTTTTTATAAAACGATAACAAAATTAGTTAATATTTATTTAAGTTAGATATAAATTATTATTAAAAAAAAGGAAAAAAGGAAAGGATAAAAGGAAAATGTCGGAATTTCAAAAAAAAGATTTATGTCCACGTTTAATTGATTATCTAGCAATTGTCGGAGTGAGAAGCGGACCACACGTTCGAGGTAAATAATAATAATAATAAATTTTTCAATAATAATAATAATTACAATAATGTGAAATTTTTTTAGGTTCCGGTCCTGTTCAACCACCGGAATTATTAAGACGATATCCACCGGAAGATCATCAGGATTTTCCATTTCCCATTGATATGGTTTATTTTTGTCAACCCGAAGGTTGTTTATCTGTAGGACCGAGACGTACAGAAAGAAGAGATCCGACATCTTTTGTTTTTGCATTGACCGAAAAAGATTCGGGTAATGAATTGACAAAAAAAAAAAAAATGGCGGTTATTATTTATAAATAGAAATTATATATTTAATTTTTTTTTTTTTTTTTTAGGAAAATGTAGGTACGGAATATGTGTGAATTTTTATAGGGCTATTGAAAAAACACAAACGAATGGAAATAATAAACGTGATAGAAGATCGTCAACGTTTCGAAGAGAATCATGGAGAAAAAGTATGGAAAAAAGTTCGGATTCGGCTTTTTCCAGGTATTATTATTATTATTATTCATTTGAAATTTTCCATTTTTCTTTTAAACTTCTCACACATTTGACCCCTTTTTATTTATAGAGCATGTTTAACGCCTCCTCAAAAGTTTTTTAAAGGTTAAAAGGTCGTGGGAGAAAATAAAAAAAAAACTTTTTTTTTTTTTTTAATATTAAATTTTAATTTTAAATGAATTGTTTTATTATTTCAATTAATTAAATATATAAAATAGGATGATACGTAATTTTAATTAAAATGGTTTTTTTTATTGTAGAGTTTTAGAAATTTGAAAATAAATTTTTTAATTTGGGTTGTAAAAGTCTCCCGCCCCCCTTCCCCTCAAAAAAAAAAAAAAACAATGTGGGGGGAATTTTCTATTCTTTTATTGATTATTGTTAAAATTATATTAATTTTTTTTTTTTTTTTTTTTTAGCGATTATAGAAGCAATATTGGTCCAAGCGATTCGGAAAGAGATTGTCCAAGTCGTAGAGATTCAGAATCATCAGAAAGAAGAAAAGAAAAATGTCAAGTTGGTGATTTTCAACCTCGTTTAGGTGTCATACCAACAACGGGTAACGATTCTGAATCTGGTGGTAGTCATAGTCCGAGTCCAAGAGCAACAAGAAAAAGACAGGTTGGATTTTATTTTTATTTTGTAGAGAGTTTGTATTTTGTTGAGGGTTATTAATTTATTTTTATTTTGTAGAGAGTTAGAAATCATTCTTTAACTTCTTTATGTCTACTAAGTCATCATCCATTTTTTTCGACGTTTCGTGAAATTTTATTCATATTAAAAAAATTAATAGATGGTTGTAATGAGAATACGAGTCCTAAAAGAGTTGGTGCTTCGAAACAATTCACGAGGTTTGGGTTATTTTTACCATACGAATAAATTCAAGGAGTGGATAAAAAGTAAAAAATGTGATTTTTGTTCTCCAGAGATACAGTTTGGTCGGTATTGACGGGAAAAGTATTTGAAGGAATACCATCAATCGTACTTCACGACGTACGAGAAATCGAAACGTGGATATTACGCTTGCTCAGCGCACCGGTTCCAGTTCCAGGACGAACAAAAGTCGAAATGGAAATATTAGAATCAACCATATTGCCCCCATTTGTATTTGCCTTACCGGATCATACGCGTTTTTCACTCGTAGATTTTCCTCTTCATTTGCCTTTAGAACTTTTAGGTGTAGATACGTGTTTGAAAGTTTTAACTCTTATCCTTTTGGAGAATAAGGTTTGTAATACGTCATAATAATAATTATCGTTGCATGATTGATGGGAAAAACTTTTTTTTTTTTTTCTTTCAGGTTTTACTCCAAAGTCGTGATTATAATGCTCTTTCAATGAGCGTAATGGCCTTCGTTACTATGATATATCCCTTAGAGTACATGTTCCCTGTTATTCCCTTATTACCGACTTGTATGAGTTGCGCTGAACAATTGCTTCTGGCTCCCACTCCTTTTGTTATCGGTGTTCCAGCAAGCTTTTTACTTTATAAAAAAAATTTTAAGTAAGTCGAATTTATTTTTAAATTTATTTAAAAAAAGGTTCGTGTTATTAATTTATCGATTTTTAATTATCAGGTTACCCGACGACATTTGGCTCGTAGATTTAGATAGTAATAAAATTATATCGTCAGCAAATTTAGAAGATTTACCCCCGTTACCGGAGCCCGAGGGTGCCATATTGAAAAATCATTTGAAACAAGTAAGAATTTTATCAACATTTTTTTTTTTTTTAAAAACAGAATATCATTTAAAAGCTAGCATTTTAAAATTCATTTGTTTTAAGTTGCGCACACACACTTAACATTAAATCGTGCACAATATATTCCCCTCCCCCCCGTGCCCGCGCCCCCCATAATTCAAAATAAAATTCGTTAACTTTTCTCCTTTTTCATTTGATTTTTTTTTTTGTTTTTTTTTTTTTCTTCTTAATTTTATTCTTATTTTTGAAATTTTTTTATGTCTGTATCTTAGGCAATGCAGCATATGGATCAGGTAAAACGAAGGCAAACAAATAAGATCTAAAAAAAAAAAAATCAATCAATAGATATTAGATATTAGTCAATAGTATATATATTTAGTTGTAGGCACAATAGCCAAAAGCTTTTATCCCGTTCTAAAATCACAAAAGAACTAAAAATGGAATTTAAAATAAAAAATTGATTTAGGGTGGACGTTTAAAATATTAAAAAGAGAGAGAGAGAGAAAGAGAGAGACATGTGAAAATATTTTATTTGTGGTTTTAGAATGAAATAAATGTAGATAACAGCTAAAATTAGTTAGTTTTTAGATGAAAAACAAAAAAATATGACGTAATTAATATAGGTAGCCTTTAAGAAAAACGATATGACTGCATGTAAAAAGAATCTAAATAATAATAATAATATCAATCATGGTGATGATTTTAATAGGAAAATTTTAATTTTACAGGCGCTCAGCGGACTCACAGTTTCTGCTTTTCAACTTACAAGTTTTAACTCGCAAAGAACTATAACAACTCCACAAAATTTTCAAACTCCCAGAGAACTAAGTCAACAATTGAAAAAGGAAAGCACTACTAATTATAATCACAGTCAGGGAAATTTAGGGTAAAAGATTGATTTTTTTTTTAATAATAAACAACAAAAAAGTTTTTTTTAAATAAATAATTCATTAAATTAATATTTAGGTATTCTCCGGTGAGAAGTATGCCCGTGGAGCAAATAATAGAAAATACTCCAGTTTCCAATAATCCTTTTATTCAACCTTCGCATCATCAAACAAATCCTTTCTTGTCGTCTCCCGGTCAAGAAGTAAGCCTTAATTTAGAACAAAACGTGCCTATATTTGAATCGGAAACAACAAATCCATTTTTACAAAATTTTCCTTCTCAATCGTTTCAACATCAGCAGCAGTCGCAACAGCAACAACAACAGCAATACCAGCAGCACCAGGTTCAAGTACAACAAATTCAACACCAATACCAACAGCAGCAATCTCAGCCTTATTACGTGCAACAGCAGCAGCAGCAGCAATACCAGCAACCGCAATCGTTTTCAATGACAATGCAACAGCCTTCGAATTCGTTCATTTACGGAAGTGATATCGATTCCGTAGATATTGCAACTAGAGTGGCCATTGTAAAATTTTTCAACTCTCAAAATTTATTAGCTAATTTTACGGAACATACTAGAACGTTGAGATTATATCCCAGACCGGTAGTTGCCTTTCAAATAAATAGTTTTCTTAGAAGTAGACCGAGAGCTAGTCATTTTTTAAATCGTTTTGCAAGAACTCAAGTAAGTCATTTTTATTTTTTATTTTTTTTTTTAATGAATGAAATTTTATTTTTATTAAATATCATAAATATTTTTTTCAGGCCGTTGAATTTTTAGCCGAATGGTCTCTCACCCCGACAAATGTTGCTTTCTTTAGAGTTCACACGGGTTTATACGATCCGAAAGAAATCGGTGATAAAGCTAAATGGTTTGCTGATAGTTTGGATCCGATTCGGTTTATCGTATGGGACGAATGCAGCACATTAAATTCAGCTTTACAAATCATTAATCAGCAAGAACAACCCACGGGTACATTTTAGAAATTTAAAAAAAAAAAAAAAAAAAAAAGGGATTTTCGGAAAGACTCATTGAAAATTAATTAAATAATTGTAAATTTTAGATGAAAGTGGATCTGATTCAGACGGAGATGAGAGTACAAGTTCCAGTTATTCTTCACTAAGCGATTTCGTTTCGGAAATGGTATCATCAGATCTTTCGCCGAGTAAGTTTTATTGAAATTCGAAGGTACCTTATATTCGTTTGTGAATTTTTTAATTGGTCTTAACTTACTCATTTTCAAAGTTAAGTTTTTAATTGACAAATTCACAAACGAAAAACATTTGTTACGTGAATTTTTTAAATAGGTGTTCCTCATCATTTAAATTCAACAGTGCCAATGTCACTTTCATCAAATCTCGATCCGAAAAATATATACAATCCACCGACTAATTTAAATTACGGTCTTTCATCTGGACCACCGGACTCGAAATCTCCACAAAGCAGTCAATCTTCCAGTCACAGCGATCTGAGCTCACCGACATTCAATCGCGATCCCGATTTTGATTTTTCTAATCCTGACAATTATGTTAAAACCAATGCTCTTGTAAGTTATTTTTTATTCATATTTTCCCTCGAACTTTGTCGAGTTTTCTTTAACAATTTTTTTTTTTTTTTTTAGGGTAAGGAAGAACCCACGAGTACCGAAAACGAAACGGATTCAAATTCTACAAATACAACTCCCAAAACTATGATAAGTAATGAGAGTAGCATAAAACAAGCGAGTCCGACGCCATCTTTAAGTAGTGAAGTGTCAAGTGGTCCTCTTGAAAGACCGACCAGACTCACGAGATCCGTCACTCCAGTACCGGTGATTATATTTATTATTTACTTAAAAATTTTTATTTTTAATTTTACAAAATAATCTATTATAAACTTTATAGATGATTCCTTCGAGTCCTCTTCAAAGGCAACCGAGTGTTGGAAACGTATTGGCTCGAACATCCAGTTTCGGAAGTAATAATTACGATTTAAATCGCTCAAGTTCTGGAAGTTCCATCGTTCAACGTCAAAGCTCCAGTAGTTCGACGGGAAACAAACAAGGATCTCCCAGTTCAATTTTCGAACAATTTACAAATCAAGCAAAGGAATTAGTTCGAGAAACCAAACGTCAAAGCAGTCAAGATGGTATACTCGCTCAAATGGACAAAGTACGTATTTCTTCGTATCCCAACTCGTACTCAAATTATTATTATTATCATTTGTATGTAATTGTGCGTTAATTTATTTCCATTTATTTAAAGTTCAAAGGTCAAGCCAAAGAAAAACTATCGATCGATGAAGGAAATGCAATATTAGCACCCCTAGATAAAGTGAGAACTTTTTTTTTTTTTTTTAATTTTTTATTTGATTCAAACAACAGCAAAACAATATCAACGAACGAATTCATTTTTTAATTTCAGTTGACCATGCAAGCAAAAAAAGCTGCAGAAGAAGCATCAAAATCAGCTTTGGAGGCTTCGAAAGCAGCAACGGCCGTTTCTAAAAATACTTTTGAAGATTTAACTTACGTTTCCAAAACTACATTTGGTGATTTGACTAAAAGCGCTAAAGAAGCCGTCGCTAAAAAAGGATTGATAAAGGTTAGTAAAAAAGGCATTTGCTTAAAATAAAATGGAGAGCTTTTATTTAATAATTTAGTTCTTTATTAAATTTTATTAGAGGTTGAGTGATTCAAAAGAAGATGCAGATTCGCCAAGTACTTCGTTGGTTCAACACAGTTTTCTCGGTTCAGGTTCGAGAGATTTTTTTTCCAACATCGGTTCCGACCTCAACGGCATCGCTGATAAAACGACAAATATGTTCACTGGATTATTCGGTGAATATCGAATGACACACTAAAATTAACAAAAATAAATTTTTTTCCCTCACTTCGACCCGTGACACATTCGTTTGTTTTTTTTTTATTTCAGGAAGTAAAAATACCGGAAACAAAAATTCATTGGCTCAAAATATACAATCATCATCATTATTTTCATCATTTTCAAATTCGAAATCTTCTCAGAATCAACAAGATCGATATTCTAGATCGTCACCTCCTCCTCCATCTACTCCACAACGTCAGCAATATCAACAGGGAGCAAACACAACAACAACAACAACAACAATCACAAAATAAATTTCAACAAGCTTTCGGTCCTTTTCCTCAGGGTCGAAAAGGTTTGGTTGAAAGAAGTTCTCTCATACGACACGCTAGTCAAAAACCTCAAAGGTTTAGCCCAGATTTACTCAGATCTCAGAATAACGAAAAAAATATTGTTAATTTGGAAAATCAGTCGTTTTTAAAAGATGTACGTACAGGTTTTTAGTTTCTTCTTCCACGTTCAAAAAAAAATTCATCGACCGTTAAAATTTCTTGTCGTTTTTATTTTCAGGTCGTTAATCAAGTTTTAGAAGGCGAAGGAGTCGGTTGGTTAAAATTTAACAGATTAAAAAAATTACTCGAAGATGAAAACTATAGAAATTTCGTCGTTTCGAGACTAAATAAAACATTGGACAAAAAAATCGGACCCGATAATCACATTGACGACGTGGTAAGTTTTTCATCTATCTGCTTCCACGTCATTTTTAACTCCGATTCGTTTCATTAACAATATAATTTATTGTTTTTTTTTTTTTTTTCAGTGCGTATCGAAGAGAGTTTATAAAGGAATGTTAAAAACTCTTCAAGCTTTAATTTACGGGTTGGAAAAAAGTTATGAAAATTTCGGTCCCGGAGGAATGGCTTCCGTTTTTCAAATACTTGAAATTGCTCACACACATTATTGGACCAAAGATTTAAATGAAGCCACTCCGATGGATTTATCAAGTTCCTCTTTGCTTTCACAATCGTCTTCACCTTTCGGTAGTAGGGAAAATTTAAAAAGTCCTTCGTCACCGATCAGCGGTGAAGTATCACGAAAAGCTTCGCAACAAGGATTGCTGGGTAATCATTTATCATTTTAATTTTTTTTTTTTTTGTATTGTTCAAACACGTTCGAACGTTTCTTCCTTTTTTTTTTTTCCAGATGTAAATATGCCGCAATTAAAGTTTGAAAATAGTTTGGGTGAAGAAGTGACGTCAACGACGGACATGCTAAGAGATTTATTAAATCAAAAGCGTAAAATGCTTTTACCCAAATTAACATCGGTCGAAAGTGAGGTAATAATTTTTTAACTATACTACTTTCAATTCGACCCCCCCCCCCCCCCAAAAAAAAAAAAAAAAAAAAAAATTACCCATTTTTGTTCAGGTGACGGTCGATCAGTTAGGTTCAAACGAAGGGTATTCGTCTTGTGCTTCAGAAGCCGGTAGCATTTTTACTAACCCAGCATTTAGTCGACATCGAGCGTCTTTTCGAAGCACCGTTTCTGATTCCGAAGTCGATGGCGGAAATGTAAATAAATTAGAACCGACAAATCATTATTATTTGATTTCTTTTTTATTATTATTATTATTATTCTAGTTGAATTCGCGGACTTTAGATTTTTTTTTGCGATGAGAATTAGAAAACTCGATGCACTTTCAAATTAGTTTTTCTTTTTTTATAACACTCTTCATTGAAACTTAGGGTTTCACTTTTCTTATTATTATTATTATTACATGACGAGAGTACGTAATGAGTTTTTTTAAAATGAAAATATTATTATTTTATTTTCAGTTTATCAAACCGCAAAAACAAAGGAATTCATCCGTTTGGAGCAGTAAATCAAGCATAAGTGCAGGTTTCAGGTATCACGGTGGTAGCATAATAAACACATCGGGAAGTCCATCGCCGGACGGTGGTAGAACGTATTTATTCGAAGGATTGATCGGAAAGGAGAGATCAAATTTATGGGATCAAATGCAATTTTGGGAAGATGCTTTCTTAGATGCCGTTTCATTAGAAAGAGATATCGTGGGAATGGATCAAGGTCCAAGAGAAATGATGGAAAGGTAAAAAAAGAAAAAAAAAATTGAATTATTGACATCGCGTGTGAGAGAGAGAGAGAGAGAGATTATTATTTGTAAAAATTTAAGGTATAATTCTCTGAGCGAAACGGAAAGGAAAAGGTTGGAACACGAAGAAGATCGTTTACTCTCGACAATGTTGTACAATCTCGTAGCCATGATGGTCATGATGAACGTAAATAAATTGGAATGCAAGAGAAAATGTCGAAGGTTGTTGGGTAAAAGTCACATAGGTTTGGTGTACAGTCAAGAAGTTAACGAATTACTCGATCAAATCGGTAATTTGGTAAGTGTTTGTACTAATAATGATGATTAAAATACGCGTAGTATTAAATGGCGATTTGTTATTATATGATAGCACGGAAACGACATCGATTTGAAACCGTTGGGATCGAGACAGTTAAACCGTCAAAGTTTTACAGTTCATCAGGGTGTCGATTCGACGGGAGATTTATTATTTCTCGAAGTTCGGGAAGATGGTTTGGTATTGAGATCGATGAACGGTACCATAGTTGAACGTTGGTGGTACGAACGTCTCGTTAACATGACGTATTCTCCGAGAAACAAAGTTTTGTGTTTGTGGAGACGAAACGGAGGACAAACTCAACTTCGAAAATACTACACGAAAAAAGTAAGAGAAATCCTGTCCCTCTTGATAATAATAATAATGATGTTAATTGAAAAATGTGATATTTGAGAGTAAAAAAAAAATTTTTCCAGTGTAAAAATTTATATTACTGCATAAAAAGCGCTCTGGAGAAAGCATGCGCGAGAGGAGGTTTAGGACCGCCCGGTGAACTCGGCGGTGAATTTCCAGTACAAGACATGAAAACTGGAGAAGGAGGATTGTTACAAGTTTGTATGGAAGGAGTCGGTCTTCTTTTCGTCAACAGCAAGGTAAATTATTTTATTTCATTAAAAAACTTTTTCCATTTTTTTTTTTATTCGCTTTGTCATTGATGACATTTTTTTTAATTTATTATTATTATTATTATTATTATTATTATTTAGCCATGTGGTGCAATATTTTGTTTTATTATTATTATTATTATTATTTAATTAATTAATCGTAATCGAACCGTTTATTACGTACCTAACTTCTCAAAATCGGGTTAATCGCGTTTTTTTTTTTTTTTTTTTTTTTTTGTTTCAAAACTCCGACATTGATTTTGATTTTTTTTAACGAAACATTAATCGTACGCCATTTGTAAATTTCCTCTAACACGATTCTAATTACACGTTCGTTTTTTTTTTTTTTTTTTTTTTTATTATTTAAATAAGACCGAGAGAGAAATACGTTCGAATCGATTTTTATCGATATATATCGATCGATTATCGTTTTCTTTTTTTTTT